ATGTCAAAAAAAAAAAAAAAAAAAAAAAAAAAAAAATTGAAAAGTTTAGCAAAATATCTCATCCACTTTTGTTGAATATCATCTTCTAAAAAAAACTTTTTTATTTTAATCATTAATATACTTCACTTGAACTAAATCCTTACTACTCATATCTCTTTATTTGACTAATTTATACATATATCTTTCTCCCTACGTAGTATCCAATATATTATATAAATCACTAAAACTTAAAATTTTTGCATCATACATTGCTTTCTTAGATTATCTATATGCCTCTTTATACCTAACCTAATTATTATAATTTTTACATCTAAATCAATTTTTAGAGATAAAATCAAGATTGTGAAAACCGGACTGGACAAGGAACATAAAGAATGAGAGGTTCACGTTCGACCGGTCAAAACAAGAATCGAATAATGTAATAAATAATAATATTATTATGAAAAATTAACAAAATTAGCATAATAATGAAATATAATAACCATATACTTTAATATAAACTATTATTAATTTATTTTACATATTTAAATGTAAATTATGAATATAATTATGTTAAAAACTCACAATAAAAATTAATTATTTATAATATATAATTAAATATAAAATTTAAATAGAAAATAATCAAAAATTATTAACTAAAAAAGTAAAATTTCCAAAAATATAAAATAAATATTATTCATATTGTAATAATAATATATAAAAAATAAATGGATAAAAATAAAAAATAAATATTATCAACTGAATATATAAATATTATTCATATTATAAAAATTAATTAAAAAAACCATTATAAAAAATATGTTTTGCTTTGCATAGTGTATACATGAAACCAAATAGAGTTTTTTGTTTGTATAGTTTAGTCCCACATCACTTGCGATGTTTTGTTTTGCATAATTTATATACCTTTTTGCTTTTGCACATGATAGGAGCTCATATGGGGCCTTCTCAAGCCATGTGAGAATGTTGCAAGTAATTATAAAATCATATTCTGTAATATTTATTTAAGAGTGTTAATATATAATATTTATATTAAATGATTAAGTTTTATCATTTATTTAATATTAAATAATTTATTTAATTATTTAAAAAAAGCTGGACTGGTCGATTTTAGAAACTGGGATCAATTCATCGGTTCCTGGTTAAACAGGCAGTTCAAACTGATTCTGGCCGGTTTGATGCACACTCAATCTTTAAGGGTGAATCGGACCAGCCATTAGACCGGTTCACGGTAGAACCGGTAGGACCGACCGGTCCGATTATATATATATCTTTTTTTTTATCTTCTTTTTTTCATAACTCCCCCAACTTCCTCCTCCTACTATAAATACCCTACTAAGGGGTATAAAACTTTTGCCCCTTCTCATTTCCTCCTTCTTTCTTCCACTTGAGGCCTTCCCCTGGGCCTTGCGCATGTGGCATCCCCTGTCCAAGCCCGGGGCCCTCTCTACAAAAAGGAGATTTCTTCTATTTCTTCTTCTTTCATGTCAGGCCTTCCCCCGGGCTCTGCATAGGCAGCATCCCTTGTCTAGGCCCGAGGCCCCTCTCTACAAGAAAGAGATTTTTCCTCCTTTCTTTTTCTCCGAAAATATGCATTATAGCTCATGGGAAAATTTTTCGGTGAGATTCAAAACTTGAAAACATTCTAATCTTGAGCGTAGAGGTCTTGAAATACATTAAAAGTGTCAAAATTGAGTCCGAAACATCAAAAATGATCTTAAAGATCCCAAAACGTCCAATTTGACCTTTTCGAGTCCAAAATTGGGCCTGGAATCAAGTTGGGGATGGTCGGTCCGCTAACTGCCGTCAGGCGCCGCAGAAACTGTCAACCTTTTTTAAAGATGATATATATATTATCTTCTTTTTTTTCTTAACTCCCCCAACTTCCTCCTCCTACTATAAATACCCTACTAAGGGGTATAAAACTTTTGCCCCTTCTAATTTCCTCCTTCCTTCTTTCACTTGAGGCCTTCCCCTGGGCCTTGCACATGTGGCATACCCTGTCCAAGCCTAGGGCCCTCTCTATAAAAAGGAGATTTCTCCTCTTTCTTCTTCTTTCATGTGAGGCATTCCCCCGGGCTCTACACAGGCGGCATCCCTTGTCTAGGCTCGGGGCCCCTCTCTACAAGAAAGGGATTTCTCCTCCTTTCTTCTTCTTTCATGTGAGACCTTCCCTCGGGCTCTACACGAGTGGCATACCCTGTCCAGGCCCGGGCCCCCTCCCAGCAAGAAAGAGATTTCTCCCCCTTCTTCTTCTCTCCCCTATGCTGAGGCATTCCCCTAGGCCTGTTCGGGTGGTATCCCTTATGTAGGTTTAGGTCTCCTCACCGAGTAAGAGTTATTTCCTCATTTTTCAAGAGATCCTACAGAGGTCCGATGTTAGTCGGTGGAAGTCTGACAACGGACAAAAGTCCAACGTCAGGAAGAAGTCCAGTGATGGACAGAAATCCAACGATGGGTAGTAGTAGTCCGGCGACGGGCATAAGCCTGATGAATGTCCAACGAGGGATAGTAGTTCGACGATGGATAGAAATTTGATGACGGGTAGTAGTCCGACGACGGATACAAATTCAACATGTGGTAGAATTTTGACGTTGGGGAGAAGTCCAGCAACTGGCAAAAGTCCGACGGCATGTAGAAATTTAACGTTGGGTTAAAACCTGATGAATGTTTGGTGACTGGTAGAAATTTAGTGTTTGGTAAAAATTTGACGGGAGTTCGGAGACTGACAGAAGTTTGAGGACGAGAAGTAATTCAACATCGGGTGGAAATCTGATGAGAGTATAGCGATGAGCAGAAATTTGATGACGGGTAGTAATTCAACATCGGGTGAAAATCCGAGGAGAGTCTGGCGGCAAGCAGAAGTTCAGCGATGAGAGGAAGCTCAGTGTCGGGTGGAATTTCGACGAAAGTCCCGCGATGGACGAAAGTCCAGTAACGTGATGAAGTTTAGCGTCGGGTAGAATTCTGACAAAAGTTTCATGACATATAGAAGTCCATCGACAAAAGGAAGTTTAACGTCGGGTAAAAAACTGACGAGAGTCCGTTGACATGTAGTATAACTTAGGTTAATAGAATACACCAAAAATATATGACATATCAGAAGTTATATGTCAGAGCATTGATCGGTGATGTTAACCCATATATAAGAGGTCGAGAGAATTCTCTATCCGATGTTCTTTGTCAGAGCCTTGTTAGATAACGTTAACCTATATGAAAGAGATCGGGAGAATCCATCAAGGATGTATGACCTATCTGATATTATGTATCAAAGCTCTGCTCAATGATGTTAATATATATGAAAGAGATTGAGATAATCCACCAAATATGTATGACCTATTTGAGATTGTATGTTAGAGCTCTTCTCGATGACATTAACTTATATGGAAGAGGTCAAAAGAATCCACCAAGGATGTATGACCTATCGAACC